CAAAATTGAATGTGATTTTTTTTTTAGTTCTGACACGTCGATCTTCCATCTAATCGACAACGTAGGACTAAATGGCGGTTGTTCGTCCCTCTCTATATCGGTGTGCTCAATGCTCAGTGCTTTGTGCGCTTGCTCTAGAGGTGTGAAGTCTTCTTCTCGGAATGCCTTATTCAGTCTTTGGTCTCCGGTCAGCTGTCATTTCGTAAGTCTCTCCTCTTTTTTTTTTTTAAATAAGTGTTTTAATTTAAGTTTTTGAGTTAAAATCTAGTTTAGGTTAACTCAATAGCTTTGGATTAACCTCATCTCAGGTCGACCCGAACCCTACCCTAAGACGAAACCAAACCCGACCTTACTTCAATCCCTATAATGCTTTAACCCAAACCCTAAAACCTAACTCAGGTTTGAACCAACCTAGACCTGTTCCAACATAGACCGGACCCAGCTCAGGTTTAGCCCAACCTAATTCAAATGACCTGAAACACCTCGAAACCAACCAAAAGTCCCGAAATAACGCGAAACAAGCAAAATAACTCGAAGAACCAGAAACAACCAAAATGGCCCAAAACACCCCAAAACCATCCAAATGAACCAAAATAATCTGAAGCCACCCAAATGACCCGAAACACACCAAAGCCACCCAAATGACTAAAATAACCTGAAACCATCGAAGTCACCCAAAACACCCAAAAAATACCCAAATGACTCAAGCACCTTAAAACTACCCAAATGATCCAAATCAAATGCAAAACTATCTCGGGTCAATCCAATTTAACTCAGATCAACCCAAATCAAACTCTAACCTATTCGGGTCAACACAAACCAAATTCCAAACCTACCCAAGCCAAACCAAATCAAACCCAAACCTACTCTAGGCAACCCAAGTCAACCCGAGTCAACTTAAATCAAACACAAATCTACCTTAGTCAACCCAATTTAAACCTGAACTACCCCGAATTAGCTAAAGTACAATATAATGCTATAATTTTGTTATTTCATGGATGTCTCCATGTTCTATTATGTTATTCCACATTTTTTCTTATGTTATTTAATGTCTTTCATGTTCTATTGCATGATTTATTATGTTTTCCATATTTAAAAATAACAAAAAATAAAAAATAAAAAAATGATGAAAAATGAAAATAAAACAAAAATAAAGGACGGAAGCGCCTTCAAGGTGGCTTTCTTCTCAAACAAAAAAAAAACAAACCTAGAAAACCTTGATTATCCAACTTGACTAATAAGATCTAAGAATTGAAACAAATGATTAACTAAATATAGAACTTCAAATATTAGTTAAATGTACCAAGATAAAGAACTGAAATAGAACCTTGGCAGATTCAACATGAACCCTAGGTTAGCTAACGTAGCCACCATAACTTAAGGCCATATACCTACCCTATATTAGTATGAGTAATCAATTAAAGTACCAAGATAGAATTAAGGACTAAGACATGCAAAACACCTAAACCTACCCCCTAAGACTAAAAGGAATGTCGTAGAGGGATGTAGTCTATAGTTACTGACAAAGAGTTTAAATTCAACGTTTCATCTAAAAATCTTTCCTACCTTACTCTATAGTATAAGGGTTCTGATTAATTCATGTCTATCAACTTAAATATCATTTATTCACCTCGTAAACCCTATCTAATTAGTTTAAAAAGCATTCCAATCCTTTCAAAACCATCTCATGGATATGAGACCTACTTTACTGGAAAATCAAGCTTTTCTATCCTTTTGAGCTCAAATCCTTTAAGTTTTTTCATAATTCGACTCATTATATTAACCGAGAGCTTTCTTTAGGATTCCTGACCTTAGAGATGTAATTAACTACGAGGGATTGCCCTTGTAGGAAGCAAGACCCCATAATTAAAGTAATCTTATCTTAATTGGTTTCGTAGACCGGAAGAAGGCTTTTATCATTCGGGTGGTTAGGTCAATTTCTTAGGTAATATGCTATTACAGTCATTGTCTACAACATTTGTGGTAGAGTACAATCTTTGTAGCAATCAATTATGGCTTTTGTGGTTTGTTATCACTATTATCACCAATAATTACAACCTGGTTGCAGCTATTATCACTGGACTATTGTTGTACATCTATGATTATCAACTTTATAATTCAATCTTCTCTATTTTAGAAGAAGAGTGGGCCAACGTACCTACAATCACATAGTGGACTGCTTTAACTAGACTAGGGCCCATGGCTTTTCCCTTGTAGGGATTTTACACTTAAAATTTCCTAGTATCTACTCTTGTTTTCTTTTTTTTATATATGTGTGTGTGTGCGATCTTCGTGTAAAGCTAAGACTTTAAATTATCACTCTACTACCGTGAATCTTCTGGCAGACAACAAATTCAATCAACATGGTAAAATATCGATGGGTTTATTAATCATTGAATTGGCTAATGAATTGATTCACTAGTCATCAAAATGACACAAAGTGAACCTAGTTAATGTGACCTAATTTTCAAAATATTTTCAATAACTATGTGGATTATATAAGAAAGGCTCCCCTTAAGGATGTAATCAAGTCAAGTTTGTGGTGGATTGGACTTTTCTTATTTGTATTATAAGTTGTTTATATTTGGTTTAAGTTCAAGCTGACCTTTCACATATATGTTCATACTTAGATTCAATGTCGCAATCGAGCCGAGTCAAGTAGAGTATGTCATGGATTGGACTTGGCATGGTTGATTCATAAGTCGTTCTTTTTTAAATCGAGCTTAAGTTGAGCATTCACATATAAATTCATATTTGACTTGCTGAAATTTTTTAATGATTATATTTGATTTATATTTGACTTGCTTATATCAATTGAACAAGCTAAAAATTTGAATGAGTACCTCATTTTTCATAAAAAAACAAATAACTAAATTTGTACTTAAATTTTCATATAAAACATGTTAATAAACTAAAAATTCTAATGAGTTTTTTTTCAAATAAAATAAATAAATAAATACAAATTACAAATTAGTTCATTGAAATTAAAAAACTAAAAAAGACTTACATTAAATTTATATGAATATTGATATTAAATTTTACTAAGTTACTATTAAATATACAATTAAATAAGTTTTAGTTAATAGAATTTTATTTAAATAATATATTTTATAATTATAGAACATTTAATAAATTACTTTTTGGACAACAAATGATTTTGTTCATGAACTTTAATAAACAAGTTAGATTGCGTTTAAATTTAACTCGTTTAACCCCTAAGTAAGAAAAAAAAAAAAAAGGGTTCAAACTTGTTTATTTATTAATTTAAACTAACATGATCAAGTATTAATTAAGCTGAGTTTAAATTGCTCAACAAGTGCATTGGCTCATTTGCACTCTTCTTACATTGCTTGTTCAAATTATTTAATAATCATGCCTAGCATGTACTTTACCTGTTTATATTAACTAAACGAACTCTTCAACTAGTTAATAACAAGTTAAACTTTTAAATGAGAACTTGATCTTCATATATAATTAATAGCAAATAATTTTATAAATCTAAACAATCAACCAATCAAATAAAACTTTAATTAGTATCTAACTAGTTTACACAAAATAAATAAAATTATATATAAATTAAACGTAAATTTTGTTGTAATAAAATAATATAAATAGGTACTAACAAATTATATCATAAAAAAAAAACAGTAATAAGCATATTGATAGTAAGTTATAAAATTTTACAATTAAATATATAATTAAATAATTTCTAATTAATAGAATTTTATTTAAATAATATATCAATATGAGTTATCATCAAGCTTCTTATAGAGAATTTAACAAATCACTTAACAATAAATAAGATTATTCATGAACATAAATAAATAATTTAGTATCATGTTTATATTTGACTCATTTAACATTCGAATGTTTAAAAAACTTATTTATTCACTAATTTGAATAAATTTAATGGAGCATTTATTGCTCTTCATGTGCATCAAATTCATTTACAGACCTAGCTCCACCCTTTGAAAACTAGAAGTTGTTCACACAGCACTAGGAGTCGAGTATAAATTTAACATATTCACAATTTGTCACATCAATTAACACATAAGAAATAATTTGATTTCATAACTAAATAAATAAATAATCTCAATAAATATGAATACAATTATAAAAAAAATTAAATAAAAACATGGCATGAGGAAAATTATGGGCACATTTTATTTCAATTTCACTGGATATCCTAAACAAGTTTCTTTTTTCATTTGAAACAGTTTTAGGAAGCATAGCAATTTTTCAAAAATTCCATATTACTCCCTTTCAAGGCCAAGCTAGAAGAAACACTTAAAGAGAATACACCTTATTTTGTAAAACTAATCAGCAATGCATCTAACAGCAAAATGAACTAAAGCTTGGCCTCTTTCCTCACATTAGAAAGAAAACTTGAACAACATGTCATGTTTGTAAACCTCCCCAGGGTTCACAATCTGAGAGGGAAACTGAGGGTGGTTTACAGCATCAGGAAACCCTTGTGTCTCCAAGCATAAGCCTGCATACCTCCCATATATCGCCCCTCCTTTGCCTTTAACATCATTTAGATAATAAGCAGTGTAGAACTGCACTGCTGGTTGGTTTGCCCAAAGCTCCATCGATCGGCCAGACCGATGATCTTTTACAATTGCAACCTTCCTCATTCCATCACCATCGACAACATAGTTCACGTTATAGCCACCCTCAACTTCGTTGATTCGGCTTTCAATGGTGTTCGGGTTGCGAAAGTCGTAAGGGGTGCCAAATACTGAGGAGATGGTGCCGATAGGGATGCGATGATCATCTTGTGGTGTAAGGTTGGAGGCAAAGATCTGGACAGTGTTGGATAAGATTGTGCCGGAGCTATGGCCACCGAGGTTCCAGTAGGAATGTTGGAGAAGATTTACGGGTGTCGCTTTTGTTCGTGGTGTAGCTTCCATGGTGACACTGAGCTCATAAGCACCAGAGATCCTGTAGGTCACATAGACATCTAGATCGCCCGGGAAACCTGATCAATAGTTTTGATTTGTGTGAGAATTGCTTCTATGTATCAATATTAAGCACTGAATCAGAAAATTTAGATCAGCCAAGATTTGAAAGAACATGGTATGACAAGGTTCCTTGCACAGTTGAAAGGAAAACTACAAGCTAGACTAGAAATAAAATCACTTGTATATTTATCCCATCATGAGGACTAATTTGAATTGCATAAAATGATGATAATCACATTGTATTATGGTGGAAAAACAATTAATTTTCAATTTTTCTTTACATTTTAAGAAAATAAATTATTTTAAGAGAAAATTACCTGCATTTTATAGAAAATTTTAATATTTATGATAATATGTATAAGCTAGAAAATAGCTACAAGGATGATGGATTCCCTTGTCATGATCATCGTTGTTATATTCTCAATCAATGGATGCCAACCATTTATCTCTTCCTCTACTTCCTTAAGACTAATTATTCCTTGCCCAATAACCAAGCAGAAAGAGAGATTATTTGGTTCAGTGGCATCGATAATATCATGTTATATTTTTTTTAAAATGTCAACTATTTGATTTACTCGTATCTTTAAATAACACTTCTGAAACAATAATTGCCTCTTACATTTACTAACATGATATGTGGACCGACATCTAATGTGAAGATATTATTTGAAGAATTATGCTGCTGGTTTTTAAAACATATAGCATTAACATCTCAAAATATAATAGGGGCATTTACATACATACATAGCACATAATTCTTATGTATTAACATATCTCACAGCTAAACATTCATATTTACATGGATATCACTCAAATCTTTAACATCACATAAAAAATATTACTATCACTATCTTTTTAAAAGTGAAATACAACTTTTCATGCATGAGTATATGACACAAGGTGTAATAAATGTAAATATCAAATTTTGAGAGTTGGATATGTAAATACATAATAATAGCGTGATATGTATGTAAATTTCCCCTTAACATTTAACCCAGCACATACCAATAACATTGAACTAAAACAGCCTCTGAAACAACTGATTGAATTGTTTGGATTTAGTCGAGTGTTGAGAATTGGACCGTATTTAGGCTCCTATTGATAAAAAGAGAATATCGAAGAAGTTTAGGGGTTTATTTGTAAAACATTGTGATACCCTATTTAATCTCATATTATGAATGTACAGATGAGGTATTTTGAGATATTCTTTCTTTATAGTATCAGAGCCTAACATAGGCGCCTCACGTCTTCGCCTTCCCAGACTGCGATTGTATTGCAGGGTTCTCTCACGTCTTCGCCTTCCCAGATCACGACTGTATTGTAGGGTTGGGGATTCTCAGATCGCATCCTTGCCTTTCCAAATCGATAGTGATTGTATCAGAGGGTTCATCCTTTCTAGATCGTGAATGTATCATAAGTTCGGTCACATCGTCGCCTTCCCAACGCGACGGTCTCATATGGATCAGTCACAAAGTGTTCTCTGTCCGTTGTGATATAGAAGTAGCTTTCCCAACAGCATCATGAGGGATTCGAGCAGGAGAGGGCATCTACGATTTGCAGTAAGAGGAAGAAGTGGAGTGGCACTGTGCAAGGACAGGGGGAGGCGAAAGAGAGGAGCAGCAGGGAGAGATGTGTGACTTTTGTGTACGGGATGTGGAGTGGAATGAGAGAAAGAAAAGTTGATGAGAAGGATCTCAATCTTGAATGTGAAGTACATCAAGATCGGGTCAAGAAGAATAAGAAATTCGCGTGTGATTTAAACGCGGATTCTTGTGATTAAGAATGTCAGGAGAAAGAGAGTGCAAGAGGTAACTGATTTGGCATCCAGCAAAGATAGATCCTAAGGTTCTGAAGGTCTTGATCGGACTCAATAGGGAGCTAGCATCTCGACGAGAGCCACTACCTCAGCATGTGCTCCAACCCAGATGAAGTTAGATCTCCCTTTTGTGGATCTAAAGCTTGATGAACCAACCATGGATCTGAGTTCGTATCATCGACCTCTACAAGGGAAGAGATTATAGGGATATCTGACGGGAGCCAAGGCTGAGCCAGAGGGTGACAATGTTGAAGGGGATGAGTGGAGGACCACACACACCTTACTTTACACCCAACTTCTCAACTTGATGGTTATATTGATTGTCTCATCAATAAATGTCATTCAAAAGGTGAGAGATAAATGGTCAAAGCTGAAGAAGATTTGTGCTGGGATGGAGAAACACATGAGAGTGTTACAAATTCAACGTGAGATAGAAGAGTGGGACATGGTTATAGATTGATTCAGGAATACACCATAGATTTGGAGCGACTATGTGCAAATCTTAATCACTTCTCACCAATGTCGAGTTGTGGTGGTCCAAAATGCAACAAATGGAAGATCATTACAAAAAAGGGGACTATGCAGTTGTTGAACCATCTGAACTTGACCTTTAATCAGAGAAGATTAGTCCTAGCACAAACGACTATCCCTTCGCTAGATGAGTTCATTACTGCAATGACATAGGAGAAGAGTCATATGAAGCTACACTCTGAGCCTGGTGGACTTCCAGGCGCGCGATCAGCGTTGGCTACCTCAAGCTCATGTATTATAGGTGTCCATAGGGAGATGTCAAGTACAACAACTACAATGAAGTCAAGCATCTAAGCAAGTCTTGTCCTAGGCCACCTTAGGAAAGAGAGACAGATGGAGGTCGTGGTCGTGATCATGGCTTTGGTTGTCGAAAAGGTGGAAAATGAGGCTACCAAGAAAATTTATTGGCGTCAAAGGAGAGACAGATAAATGTGGTTCTTACTAATGAGTATCTACTTACTAATGAGTATCATGAGTGTCTAAAGTTTTTGAAAAAGAAGCAAAAAGTGGCGGGAGATGAGGTTGAGAATGCTTTCAACCGGTCGTCATCAAAAGGTAACGTTGTCACTTATACTCATTCTAACAAAGAAACTTGTGATGCACATGCTCTTAGCTCTATTTCCACCACAGGATCTTTAAAATGGCTAGTAGATTCTGACACATCTCACATGTGATAAGTAATGTTAGAGAGTTTTCTTCTTATATTCCCTTAGCACTACTATAGAGCATCTATATCGCTGATGGTACATCATAGCCTGTAGTTAGTAAGGATATAGTTGGGGGTACCAATTATATGACTTTGTCCAATATTTTACACGCTCCTTCTTTTCCAATGAAACATTTATCCATTAGTGTCATTATTCTCTAACTAAAATATATCATTTTTCTTATATTCCTAAGGTGATCTTCCAAGAGAAAATGAAGGGTCTGATACTTGGGACTGGACAAGGAATAGTGGACTCTGATACTTAGATTGAGAGGGGATGGACTCAACTTTGACATCCATGATAGTTATGGAGTGGGAGAATCTGAAAGGAGTGTAGAGGATGTGTTGCTGCTACAACACAAATGAATGAGACACTCTTATTTTAGTTTATTGAGTAGGTTGTATAATTCGTTACATGAAAAGAAAAATAAACAAAAGCTAGTTTGTGAGTTTCACAACCTTACTAGGAGCTCTTATATTAGTTATTGGAATAGAAGTTCTGGTGCATTTGATTTGGTTCATTCTGATATTTGAGGACCTTATTTCTACAAGATCTATGAAAGGATATCAATATTTTGTGACATTTATTGATTGTTTTTCTTATGTTTATTGATTATATTTGATGAAAAATAAGAATGATGGTTTTATTGTTTTAAGGACCTCGACAAGACAATCTAGACTCAATATGATGCAGCTGTGAATGTATTAAGGTCTGATAATAGGACAATGTATACTGACAAAGCATTTGAAGAATATTTGTCAGTCTAAGGAATAAGCATCAAACCACACGTCCATACATACCAAAAAAAATGATGTCAGGGAGATAAAGTATACACCTTCTAGAGATTGTATGAAATATTATGACCGCAATGAATGTCCCAAAACAATTATGGAGGCAAGCGATTTTAACAGCTGCTCAATTGATCAACAAGATGTTGAAAGGAGATAATAGAAGGATCTTTCCATAGAAAGTATTTGGATGTGTATGTTTTGTGAAAGATAAAAGACCATCGGTAGGTAAGCTGGATTTCGGAGTTGTGAAACGTGTGTTTGTAATTTATTCTCCTACCCATAAGGGGTATGTCTATTGAAGCTCGATAGAAAAAAGACTGTTTGTGAGCTTGAATATGTCATTCAAAGAATTTGAATCGTACTACACCCAGAATGTGACCTCACCCTTTGGTGACTCATTAGATACTGGATATATGAGGCAATGCGATGTGAGTAGCAATGGTGAGAGTAGTACATGAGGGAGAAATGTCTTGTCTTGTGATGTAAGATGAATCAGTTAAGGAATCATAAATGAGGAGAGTGAACTCAGAGGTGGTGGTATTCAAGCTAAATGTGAACTAAGAGTGTATACACGAGAAATGAAACAAAATAAGGGAATGATGCATGCAATGCCACTTGTGTCAGCTAGTCTCTTGTCTCGGTCTTCCTTAAATCTTAAGACACCTACACCATTTACCTCCAACTCAGAACTCTCAGGTGATATGATTCCTTTTTCTCCTCCTAACCCCTCAACTTTAATGAGGACCTATCACAACAATGTGGGACATCCTCCCTATCGTTTTGGGTGATAACATGACATTGCTAACTTTATTTCATATTCTGACATATCACAATTGCATGGAGCATTCATTGAATCTTTGGACACAGTTTCTATACCCAAGTATTGGCAGGTTGCTAAGGAGGATCTCAAATGATAAGTTGCTATGCATGAGGAACTTAGGGCTCTCAATAAAAATCGAACATGAAAGATAGTGCCGCTACCAGCAAGAAAAAAATAGTTTGGTATAAGTGAATCTTTACAGTGAAGCAAACTTTAAAAGGGAAGGTGGAGCAGTACAAAGCACGATTGGTGACGAAAGGGAGCAGACATTGACTATGATGAAATCTTTACAACAGTTAAAAAGATGAGAACAGTGAGAGCAGTGGTTTCTCTTGCAGTGACTGATGAGTGGAGGTTACACCAACTCGATGTGAAGAATGCATTTTTTCAAAGTGAGTTATTGGAGGAGGTATGTATGGAGATATCATTAGGATTCAGTACCAATTCATACAGTGGGCAAGGTGTGTAGGCTCAGAAAATCACTGTATGACTTAAAGCAGTCACCTTGAACCTGGTTTGAAAATTATAAAAAGCTATGGTGAACATGGGATATCAGCAGATCAATGCACATTCTTTCAATAGCATGAATGTCACACCACTGTAATTGTTGTGTATGTTACTGACATCATTGTCACTAGTGATGATGCGGCATAGATTGTCAACTAAGGGTAAGATTGGGCAATGGAGTTAAGGTAAAGAATATTAGACAACTCAGATTATTTATTGGAATTGAAATGGCCCCTTAACCTAAAGGGATAGTCTTTTCTTAAAGAAAGTATGTACTAGATCTTCTCAAAAAAATAGGCATGTTGAGGGTGTAAACCTGCAGTCTCTCCAATTGACCAGAAGGCCAAGTTGATTGCAGAGACAGAAGAAACGATTGATCGTGAGAGGTACCAAAGATTTGTGGGATGTCTGATCTATCTGTCACACTCAACCCGACATCTATTTTGCAGTAAGCATGATGAGCCGCTATATACATGACCAATGAAGAGTCATATGGATGCAGTGTATCAGATTCTGAGGTACCTGAAGAGTGCGCTCGGGAAGAGGTTGATCTTCAAGAAGAACGGGCATATAAACATTGAAGTCTTTTGTCACTGATTGGACGAGTTATGTAGATGACAGAAGATCCACTTCGGAATACTACATGTTCGTAGGAGGCAACATGGTCCCTTGAAAGAGCAAGAAACAGGTTGTAGTAGCGAGGTCAACAACAGAGGCAAATTATAGGACCAAGGTCTTAGGAGTTGCTGAGATGATGTGGCTGAGAGCCTTGTTGGTCGAGCTCAAGATGGATCAAGGAACTAAAATGAAGTTGTGGTACAACAACAAGTCAACAAGCAGTATTGCCAACAAACCAGAGCAACATGATAGAGCCAAACATGTGGAGATTGATAGATTCTTCATCAAGGAAAAGTCGAATAACAGGCTACTAGAACTAATTAATGTAGTCACTGGGGAGCAAGTGGCTGATTGCCTCCCTAAAGAACTTAGTTCATTAGATTTTTCTAGGTTATTTGACAAGATGGGCTTAGTGGATATCTTTTGCCCATCCTGAGGGGGACTGTTGATAATTGGACCTTATTTAGGGTCCTATTGGTAACAAGAGAATATCAAAGAAGCCTAGGAGTCCATTTATAAAACGTTGTAATACCTTACTGAACCAAACACATACCAATAACATTGAACTAAAAAAGCCTCTAAAACAACTGATTGATTTGTTTCGATTTAGTCGAGACCATCAAGTCCGGAATGAGCCAAGAACATTCATGTGTAACAATTTAAAATCACAGAATGTACACCCCTAGTAATAATTAGATAAAATCTAAGACGGCATACCTTGTTCTTTGTTAAAACTGTAATAATACAATTTTATGTAGGGGAATTCACCATCAACCTTCTCCTTGACTGTCCAAATGACAAAGCTGAATCCTCTATGCCCCCCTGATCAGAAGAAAGGCAAAAATAGACAAAGCTTTAGTTATATAAAGCGCCATTTGTATAAATTTTGCAATTTAGTTTTACCATGAATGCTGTTTTTTCCATCGTTGGGATATAATCTATATGCAGTTCCATTCAGAACAAATCGAGCCCCTGAAATTCTGCTGCCAACCCTCCCCACCAATGCACCAAAATAAGTAGTCCCATGCTGAATATAAACAAAAACTGTGGTTAACTCTCACAAGAAAACATGAATTGCAGTAATTGAGAAACAATTAGTTTTTGTGCCGCAGATTAACCAATAAAAATGTAAGAAAATCGGCGGTCTTATCTGATTAACAACTTAATTGTAAATGCAATTCCAGCCTCTTTTCTGGATTCAAGCCTAAAATTTTGTAGTGATTTCATATAAAATAGGTCAAATTTTTTATCCATGGGCAGACTAGCTCTAATAAATCTAACTGGTGAATTACACCACAGGACTAGAGCAAAGTACAAAAGAAGCCTTTCAATGAACAGCATTTACTAATCAGTTTTTTCTTGAAATCCCGAATTCATCTCAGTTTTTTCTTGAAATCCCGAATTCATCTCAGTTTTTTCTTGAAATCCCGAATTCATCTCAGTTTTTTCTTGAAATCCCGAATTCACTAAATCCTGATGTTGATAAGATTTAGTGAATCAAAACTTACAGCATTTACTAACCAGACAGCAGCTTTCTACGAAGGGGATACCCTCTCAGACACCTTTCAATGAACAGTAATCCGGAACGGAGCAAAGAGGGAAAATTACTGATGTTTCAAACCTTTATATTATGCTAGCCTTGAAGTATAAATAGACATAAATTCCCGTACTCTTGACCGAAGCAGGTAAAAGAAGGAAACAAAAAGGAAATAATCAGTTAAGTCAATCCAAAGCCATAAATCGTACAATATATGGACGAATCCCTTCATAGCCCAGTACAACATCATCTAACTTTCCTGAAAAGTGCAATATTGATTATATTCAGATGTAATAGTCACTAATGAAATTAATGCACCAAAAAAAAATAAGCAAAAAGCATTTTTTTAAAGGTTTCTTTGCATTTAAGCGAAAAACAATGTAGATAAAACTTGCCGTAGGAATCTGGGAGGATAACCGAGAGGATTGTGGCTCCCCAGTTGGTAATCTTAACTGAGAAGTTTCCTTTCTTAAGCTCATAGATTCCCACTGTTTTCTTCGGTGTTGCAGAGGAAGAGCCCAGCAGGAGAAAAGCTGTCAGGGAAAGGAGGAGAAGTACTTGGGATTTAGCCATAGAGCTCCTCATTAGCGAGGAAAAATTGGCAATGTGAAGACGAGGAAGAAAGGCAGGAGAGTTTGGGAGGTTTAAAGAGTCGAGTGTTTGGAGTAATTCTTTGTTTATAACATTAAATATTAATAAATTGTTACCATCGTTTTTAATTGTTCAAAAGGATTGCTGTTTATAAATAAAACACTCACTTTCGTCAATTTTATAAGTTAAGCCTCAGCTAATATTTTTCATTTTTATTAAATTCACAATGGCTTGATGGTGGCATGCACAAATGCATTGGTGTCACAAGTTCAAAAGTGCTTGATTTGTAAATAGTAATATTTTAGATGCCTGTATGTAGTTATCCCTTAAAGAAATTGTTTCTTAATTTTAAAAAAAAACGACAAACTGTGGACTTTATATTAAATTCGCTTGGTGGCCTATCTTTTTAGAAGATTTGCAAATATAAAACAAATTTTGAATGCATTTTTATTTTCTAAAATCTAATTTTTTTATAATAATTTATTAGGCATTTTAATTTCTAAAAAGCATTAAAAATAATATATATAGGAGAAATGATGCAATATGCAACATTATATTTCTATCCATTTTCTTATGAATCGTTACAGAATATTTTAAGTATTTTACATATGTGAGTTTCTTGCTCGACTTAGTTATGATTACGTCGATTGGGTTGTCATGACTTCGACTCAATAATGTCTGTTTGGTTGGTTTCACAGAGTTGGCACAACTGGTCAACTAGATTCGATTAGCTTTGGGTTGGCGAGACTAGCTCGGTTAGCTAGGCTTTATTAGATTTGTTTGTCTACTCTGGTTGCCAACCTTCGGTCCCTAGATGAGGACTTCCAGCCAGCAGAACTATACTAAGCTATTGAGCAAATGGAGAATCATCATTATTTGATAGTGTTATTCCTTGACGATAGAAGTCCTTCAAGATGATTGTGAGAATTTGTTATAAGGCCAATTCTTGGTCCCTAGGAGGAACCTCGAGGGCGTTTGTTG